CACCGCAAAACATTTTGAATTTTAAATTGACTGAGTTTAGCAACAGCTGACAAGCAAGTTGTTGCCCACCATTTCTACAATGTACAGCTAACAAGAATGACAACAAATCAGCACATTCTCCAGCCGATCTACCAGTTGACTTTGTGGGTTTGGTTCGATTCTGGTCACTGGGTCAATTCAAGCTTGGCCAATCATTTTTCTCAAGCGTTCTTGTTGGTTGGGCGCAATATTGGTTCTTCAAACCTCAGGATTCTCGATGGTGATGCGTCCAATTTTGAGGTCTCATCCTGTTCTCTCTCCTGATTGTCCTCAGATTGGTCACTTCTGTTGCTAGGACGCCGGATTTCGCAAGAAGAGGCTATATTCCCAACTCAAGAATTGTAATAAACTGCAGGAGGTTGATAGACTAGCTGAACAACAAAAAAGTCTGTTTCAATACATATTTTAACCCACGACTGGCTTGAGTAGGCGTTTTGTAAAACGTCCGATTGACGAGGTGAATACGAGTGGTACAGGCTTCTCGGCCACAATTCAGGGGGTGAGGAACCAAAATCAAGGTTCAAACTACCAACCACAATAATAAAAAGTCGTCTGTCATAGCCTCGGTCCTGAACTCTCAATCTTTTGGAAGGATCTAAATTAACAGCTGTTATTCCCCTCAAACCTTTACAATCACCACTGCTCGTCATGCCGTCTAATTTATAGGTTTGTTTAAGGACATAAAATCATGGGATTTGTTGAAATTGACATACAATAAAGTTTTCAAGAAATACTTACTTCTAGACTCTTCTCTGGAGTTTCGTTTGCCCACATGTTCGTGCTTTTCTCGGAATGAAGAACTAAAAATGGAATAAAAGTTAAAGGTTAACTTGCGAAACTGGACTTCGTCTGCAGAAGTATTGGAATAACTCAATAACCTGCGCGGTATCCGGCCTGGCGATACAACAGAGCTACATTCTACGTGTGGGCATGCAAAGTTTTGGGTGAACATGTGAAGAAGTGACCGGTACTGCGGCCGTCTTCCCCAGAGGGGGCATCGTCAAAGGAAGTTGTTTCAATCCTCGACACGAGAGCCCTTTTTGATGATGCCGTCTGCAATTGTGACGATTTGGTCAACAATGTGTTCGATCACTGACTGCAAACATGATTGCAGCGGCGTAGAATCCCCCACACCGGACAGGCCGTCCCAGATACCCTCATCGGCAGGGTCAGGACATGAAATAAACCTTAAACAAGTTGAAGGCAACCTAATGGAATTGTGGCCATACAAGCGACCAAAGAGATTTGGGCTTCATACATTTAAGGCCGTGTTGCAAGGCGATGTACTGACAGGACGGCATCATAAAATTCAAGTTAGAGTCATTACGAGTTGGGGATATGTTTTCGTGTGCCACAAACAAGCAGACAAAGGCGAAGAATATGCTCCCATTAAAAACTCGGCTTTAGAAATAAACAAGTTTATATAGCCAACCATTGTGGTAAAAATGTGTTTGCTCGCAAATACTGCTTTACACCGTTCCGCCACATCTTAGCGTCCGTCAATCTATCCGCATTTACCCATTTATCCGTTTTCATACACTTATAAGTCCTTCTCATCATCCATCTATCCATCTACTTCATTCAACTTCTCAGCATCCAGCCAACTTGC